CACATGGCCACCCCTGAGCCCCACAGTGGGTTTGGGGTGGCCCCATGTTCAATAAAGGGTCTAGAAGGAGAGAGCATGCGGTGCCTTGTGTGGTCCTTTGTCCTCAACCCCAAACCCCCTCCCTCCTGCCCCTGCTGCTCCCTGGCTCTGCTGCTGTTTGCTGAAGGGTGCAAAGGTTCCTGTGGTTGCTGAGGTCTTGTCTGGCCACAGTCCCGTGATGGGACATGGCCCAGAGAGCAGCACTGCAAGGGGCACGAGCCCCCCCCGTGAGCCCCTGTGTTGCCTGTGCCCTCCTGCCCACGGGTTTTACCATGAGGAGGTTTCAGTTTAATGACATCATGAGGAAAATGCCATCTTGCCCCCATAAACTGGTGACTGGGAGGCTGAGGCTTACTTGAGTCCCAGACTGTCAGGGCAAACTCCCATGTCTAACAGGGTAGGTGGCCATGGAACAAATCCCCTAAGCAGCTGTGATCCAGACCTGGTGGTTGTTAATTGGGAAGGACCGGGGGTGGGAGGAGACGATTCAAGACCAGGAGCCAGAGCTGGGCTGCTGCCCCCTCCCATCCACACCTTTATTCCCCTGCACTGCCCAGGTGTTTGCAGAAGATTGCTGCCATCTCCAGCAGCTCTGGGGCCCGAGCCACTGCTGGCCATTCCCCTCCGTACAAAGGGAACTTTCCCACACAGACCAGCCCCAGATGCGGGGAATGAACAGGGGGAAAGAGAGCATCCCCCTCCCCAGGGCTCACCACTCTGGTGATCCCACTCTAGATGGGCTTCCTGGCATATTCGCGGCGGTACTTGGAATCCACCCGGGTCAGGTACCAGGTTCCGGGGAAGAGATCTGCCTGGGAGCCGTGGGGAGCGTGGTCGGCTGCAGGGAGAGGGCAGTGATGCTCAGGGGTGCTGTGGGGTCCCAGCAGGGCAGGCTCACATCCCCCAGCCCCACTCACCCAAGTGATGGGTTTCCTCCCGCCGCTTCATGATCTCGGCAAAGTCCTGCGGGGCCACGCGCTTGCGGGCGTCCAGGCGAGCGGGCAGGTCAGCCAGGCTGGACACCAGCTTGTCCAGGGGGGAGCCTGCAAGGGGCACCCCGTGTGTGAGATGGCAGCACTGACAGCCCCATGCTGCCCTCCCTTCCCCAGCCCCCCTGTCCCCTGGGGCCCACCTGGGGCTGCATCCTGTGAGACACGGAAGGAGAACATGCTGGCTGCCAGTCCTGAGCCGTAGGAGAAGGCACCGATCCGGGAGCCGGCCAGGTCCCGTGCTGAGCACCTGAAGCAGGAGGTGAGGGGGTTACAGAACATTTGGGCTGAGGGGGAGATGGGGATACAGGGCTGTGGCAGCAGTGTAGGGGGCTGCCTGCTTTGTAGGCAGGCAGATCCTTGGGGCCACATTTCTGAGGGAGCGTAGCCCTGGAGTGTGGTGGTGCCAGGGAGCCCCAGGACAAGGCTTTTGTTCCCCTCAGAGCCTATCTGTTCCCATGACTCCTTTCTCATGGGGTCACTCATTCTACTGGGCATGACAACAAGGGTTTTCCTCCTCCCAGTGATGACAGAGGGACTTTAGGCACTGGCCCAGATCCAGCAAGCTGGGATGAAAAGTCTGGCAGGGAAATGGCCTGGAGCAGGATGCATCCACACTGGGGGTTGTGTGCAATGAAAGGATCAGGTCCTGTTGAGGCAGGGAGAGATGAGGGCTGGGAGATGACTTCTGCTCCTCTATCCAGACAGGGAGTGCCCTCCCCAAAATCACCTCCTCCCTCTCCCCAAGCCAGCGTTTTGGGGGACTCACTGGGACAGGAGGGAGGCCAGGCAGCCATACATGGATGGTGTGTACATGTTGCCGTTGCGGGAAGAGAGGAGCAGGGAGGGCTTCGTCTTCTGGTTGAAGATGTCCTGGCTGGCAGCCTGGAATGCCTTCTCCACCTCCTTGCTGGTGTAGGTGTCCTCCAGCTTCACACCTCTGCCCAGAGAGAGACCAGCTGGAACCCCAGAGCAGCACATGCCTGGCTGGGCTGGGGGATAGGGACAGAGCACAGGGACCCACCGGAAGGACTGCAGCCCCTTGTAGAGGCCGGAGGCTGTGTCAGGGTTGGGGCAGGCCAAGAAGTCATTCAGCAGCAGCCGCCCCACCGACTTCTGCACCAGCTTGCAGAAGGGCGAGTGGAAGATGATGTACTTGAAGTCATCGAGGGTGAAGGGCCTCTGGATCCCAGCTGGGAGGCAACACGGGGCCATCAGTATGCAGGGGGCTGTGCTGGGCACCTCAGGGGCGCTGCCACTCACCCTGCTGCCACTGGGTCTGCGCCTTCCGTCGGTACACGGCGTAGCAGCGGTCCAGCGCCCGCAGGTAGCACTGGATGGAGAGCTGCCCGTCCACCACTGGGTACTCAGAGGACAGATTGGGCTTGTAGAAGTCGTAGGCGTGCTCCATGTGGGTTCCACGCAGGCCTGGGGGCACGGGGAGAGCCAGCTGTCAGAGAGCATGGGGAGACCCCAACCCGGTGGCAAACACTCAGGGGTGCTGCCTGCTGTGCCATCCCTGGAATCCTGGAGCAGCCTCCCTGAGTCACTCCATGGTGCCCACAGGGATGTGGCTAGCCAGCATCCTGGAATACCCAGCAGAATCTGGCTGAGCAGCTCTGCCCAGGGCTGGGACATGGATGCATGGCCTCCAGGGACAGCACCCATCAGCTCGCCACCCCCAGGGCCTCATGGCACTGACCTCTCTCCAGCACCAGCGGGGCGTTGGGTCCCACCAGCATGGCGATGGCACCGGCACCTCCCGTGGGCCGCGCGTTCCCTGTGGCATAGACGGCGATGTCCCCACACACCACCACGGCATAGCGACCTGGGGGAGGACAGAGCGACTGGCAGGGCCACCAGAGAGTAGAAGCCTCCATCCCATGGCCCTTTTGTGTTCCCATCTTGTGTGTCGCACCAAGATGGGCAAGAAACAGGGGTGATGGAGAGCCTGGAGGTGCAGTGGCTCCCTTTGCAGTTGGAGCATCTTTGGGTTTCAGGCCACCTCCTGCCTCCTTCCCTTTTCCACGGCACCCACCCAGTGCCCAGCCCCACGGCATGGCCCTGCCTGTACTCACCATCCCAGGCACTGGACTCCACCCAGGCAGCTGCATTGAAGAGCGAGGCTGTGCCCCCGTAGCAGGCGTTGGTGGTGTCAATGCCCTCCACATCAGTGTTGCCAGAGTCATGGAAAAGTTGCATGAGGACGGTCTTGACAGCCTTGGATTTGTCGATGACGGTCTCGGTGCCCACCTCCAGGCGGCCGATGGCGTCCCAGGAGAGGCGCCCGCGCTCCACCAGCCGCTGCACCACGGTCAGGCACAGGGAGTTGATGTCCTCGTGGGCAGCACAGAAGCCCATCTGCTTCTGGCCCAGGCCCCGCGTGTACTTGCCGGCCTCCACGCCATCAAACCTCTCCAGCTCCTCCTGATCCACGTACTGGGCAGGGAAGTACACCTCCAGGGCCAGGATGCCCACGTCCTTGGGCCAGGCACCTGTCCCAGCAGCACTAGAGAGGCTGTGGGACAGAACGAGTGGCAGCAATCCCGTGGCAGCCTTGGGCACAGAGGGTGGCCCTGCAGAGATGCCACCAGCAAGCAGCCTAGGCTGGGAGCACCCCAGATCGCTGGTAGCTCCTTGTGCCTGCAGTGCTGCAGGGAGGAGGCAGAGGCTCCCCTTGCCCAGCAAGGTTTAAGAGCTCAGCCAGCTTCCCAGCCCTACCCTGGTTGTGTCTCCAGCCCCCCGATCCACATGGGTGCTCACCATGCCCTCTGCCAGGCCGCGGGGTGCTGGGTGCCCCGGGGTGCCCGCTCCGGCCCGGGCAGTGCCCACCTCGCCCCCCAGCAACGTGCGGTGCGCCCGACCAAGCGCAGCATCTTCACCCCGGCCGCTGCGCAGACAGAGGGATGGCCGGCCGGACAGGTGGACAGCGGGATGGGCCTTGCGTAGTGCTTTTATAAACTGCGTGGGCAGCTCGGCACAGCCCTCCCGGCCTTTATCAGCCTGCCGGACCCTGGCGCTCAAAGGTCACCGAGCGCCAGCCAACGCAGCAGGGGCAGCGCAGCTTCAGAGGGGGGAGCCTGCGAGGTGTCTCCGTCTCGTGTGCCCCAAAACCCGGGGACACGGAGCCGGAGCCGGAGCTGAGCAGTGGCACGGGCTGTCCCGCAGCCCCGGCTGCCCTGGGGCAGGGGAGCTCCGGTGCCGGGCTCGCTGTGGTCACTGCGCGGCCTCCCCGCCGCCCCCGCGGGCCCGGGCAGGGAGCAGAGGGCGGCCGGGCTCTGGGGCCGGCACCATCCACTCCTGACACGTGCCGTAGCTCTGGAGGGGCAAAAACCCATGAGCTGGGTGGGGGCAGAGCCATCTTCAAAGCAGCAGAGCAAACAGCCACGTGATGCCCGTGGCCAGATAACAGTGGCACAAAAGGGACCTTTGGTCCCGGTGCTGCTGTCAACATGGCCATGGGGCCGTGTTGCAGGCCCCGGATCCCTGTGGAGCTGTCTGCACCTGGGGGACCACCTGTCCCCATGCCTGCACACCCATCACAGCTCCCGTCCCCACCCACATCTGTGTCCCAGGTCTCTGTGTCTGCACTCTGGGGACACTCCTGTCCCCCCACCTGCTCCCCAGGGACGCCCGTGGTGTTTGGCACCCGAGGGCTGGTATGAGCAAACGCGAGTGCTCAGCCAGGAGAGCGATGGTCCCCGCAGCTCCAGGGGACTCATCCCCGAGCAGCTCTGCCCGCACCGGCAGAGCAGAAACCTCTGGAAGCCGGGAAGCTCGGGGAGCCGGGGCAGAGCCCGTCTCTCTCTCTCTCACGGAGCAGCCCAGGGCTTTGCACCAGCACCAGGCTCACACAGCACTTGCATGCTTCTTTTTTTATAAGATGCATTTATAGGAGTTGCGGGGAGAGACACGGAGGTGGCACGGGAGGAACGCCGCCAGCGCGGGGTCCGCCGCGGGCCAGGGCTGTGCTCAGTGCAAGGGGTTGAACTTGCAGATGAAGTGATGCTGCTGGGAGCAGTCGGCGCTGGACCACACGGCAAAATCTGCGGGAGAGACAGGCAGGGGGCTGGCGGGGCCACGGCGAGGACGGGACCAGCTGTGGCCACCGCAGCCCTGGAGGGGATGGGGACCGGCAAGAGGACGGGGCAGGGCAGTGCCGCCAGCCCGGGCGCTGGGGTGGGTGCAGGGACCGGGCACTCACCGCTGTGATGTGTCAGCGCGGCGCAGCTCCCCCCGCGGGCACCGTTCCCGGGCACCTCACTGGTGGCACTGTACTCCTTCCCACTCGTCCACTGCCAGGACTGGCTCTGTGCAGGGCGAGGGGGGTTCAGAGGCACGGCCCTGCTGTCCCCCAGGCCCCCATCAGCCCTGCCGCCCACACCTCACCTCTTTGCTCTTTTGCAGTCCAATCCAGACGGGCTGCACACTCTGGTAGTAGGAGATGATTCTCCGCATGGTGGCTGCCTCGTGGGCATTCTCCACCCACGCCAGGTGGGCGCCTTTCTCGACGTCCTGGCACCGACTCTGCGGGGAGAGGTGTCAGTGCCGGGGCGCCTCGGGGAGACGGGGGGGGGGCCTGTTCCCCTGTGTACCCCGCTGCGCTTACCTCAGCCTCGTCCCAGCTCCGGGACTCGGGGAAGTATTTGAAGCAGCTGAGCAGGTAGTAGGACCAGCCGTCGGGGCAGTAGCCTATGTACCTGCCGCCTGCTTGGGGAGAGCGGCGGGCAGGGATGAGGACAGCCGGCACCACTGCCTGGAGAGGAGCGGGGCTCCCCCCTGCCCCCCGAGCCCTGGCACTCACCGACCGGCCGCAGGAGCCCCGCGCAGCCCAGCAGCAGGAGGGCGAGTCTGGCCGCAGCCGCCATCGTCCTTGCTCCCTGTAAAGGCTCGGGAGGGTCACACAGGGTCCCCTGGGGACAGAGGATGCTACCTGTGCTCAGAGAGTGCAAACCCGCCCGCCTGGCCCCCTTGGGCTGCCCGGAGGAGATGACAGGCTGTGGCTCCCTGTCTGCCCCCCGGCACAGGGCACTGCCCCATTTCTGCACTCCGTGCCCCAGGCATGGCTGGGAGTCCCCAGCCCACACTGGCAGCAGATTGTCCTGGCCCCAGCAGTCCCAGACTCGGCAGGAGACACCCGGGAGAGCCCAGCTGCTCTGTGGGGACAAGGGGAGGGCGCTGTGGCGGACACGGGACCCCAGCCAGGCAGTGGCACAGGTGGGGCTGCAGGCACTGCGTGCACGGCGGCGTTTGCACGCCCTGAGCTCGTAGCGCTGCCCAGGCTGGAGAGGCAAATCGGCCACATCAGCGCAGTTCCCCTTTATCTGGGCTAATCCCTGGGCACCGGGGCCGATTTGCAGATTCAGCTTGTCTTCCCCTCAAAGAAGCAGCGACAAAAGTCAACGCAGGGCTGAAAAATGCAGCATCATAGCCTGCCCCATCCAGCGAGAGCAGAGCTCGGCTCCCACAGGAGCAGCCAGGGACAGGCACCAGCTCTTGTTTGCCCGCGAGCCAGCTCTGAGCATCCCGAGGCCCCAGCTGCCTTGCGAGGCTCCTCTTCCTCACCTGTTGTCCGGATGGTGAAGAATAGCGGCTTGTGGCGAGTCACTGGGACGGGAGAGGAGGGGAGCTGCCCTTTATAGCCTGGTGCTCACCCGCATCTGTTTGCCCTACTCAGGTGATTCTCACCATAAAAATATTACTGCTGACCTCCCTCCATCCCCCCCCCACTTTAATGGAAAATTGCCCAGATCTCCAGTCTGTTTGCATTTAACATATCTCCAGAAACAGACAGGAAGAACCTGTCCTAGTTGGTCAATAAATCCCCTGCAATCATCATTAATTGCTCCCGTGACACAGATACAATCTTCCTGCCCCGAGCAGCCTGGCACCTGGCAGGGATGCCCACTGGGCCAGCCCTGCCTCGCCCGAGGGCTGGCGGGGGTGAGCCCCGGGGGTGATCCCCGATCCCGGGCAGGGCATCCCTGCCACCAGCGGGACCCTGCCGTGGGTCCGACCCCCTGGCACTGCCCCTGTCCCCAACCAGGGGATGGCACCCGGCCGAGCCCCGCACCCTGCCCGGCTGTGCCATGCGTCACCCACACACCGCCCTTGTTTGAACTGCCGGGGGATGTTTGCGAGCAGGATGGGACGCCGGGATGTGGGAACAGCCTGCAGCCGGGGGCTGGAGGTGCCATCAGATAGCGGGGAGGATGCCCAGCCCTCGGGCCCGGCCATGACGCAAGCCCTCGTCCCTGTGTGTCCCTCCGGGAGGAAGGGGCCGCTCCCGCAGCAGAGCCCCCGCTGCCCCTGCCCCGGAGGCTCCCTGCAGCCCCAGCCCGGGGAGGCTGCTGCCGGCATGGAGCCACGGGGATGAGCTCCGGGCCCAGCAGCTGGAGCCCTTCGGCAAGGTCTGGCACAGCCCTCTCTGCCACGGTCCTTGCTCCTCGCCCCGGGTGCCCTCTGCACCTGTGGAGTTCTCCACGTTCCTGCTGCCATCACGCTGCTCTGCAGCATCACTTTGCTGGCTCCTGATGGACCAGAGCGGCTTTGAAAGATCATCCTGCTGCTGCCAGCTCCGGCCAATGCCTGGCTCTCCCTCCCCAAAACCCTTGGTGGAGGCTGGTGGGAAGGAGGGGAGCTCCCGCCCTTGAGGGCCTGGTGCTCAGCAGCATTAGTGTGACCTGCAGAGGATCCAGACCCAGGGCTGAGCCCTGCTTCCCCCCACATGGAGAGCTTTGTGTCAGGCTCAAGCCTTGCACAGCCCAGGGACTGCCACGGGCTCTCCTCTGCTGCAGCATTTGCTGAAATATGCAGCCAGTGAACGCTGCTACAACCACAGGGAGCAGCTCCCTGTCGGCATGCAGGGGCAGGTCTGGCTTCTGCCCCAGGAAGGGAGGAGGATGAGGCCCTTCTCCTTCACCCACACAGCGGGATAGAGCTGCTGCTGCTTGCTAGGCATCCTCTGGGGTGAGACCTTCTCGTGTCCAAACACAGCTGCTGCCTGCTATTACTTCTGAAAGAAACAACCTGCCACACATCAGCTGCTGCGATCAATGGCAAAACCCTGCAAACACAACAACTCCCCAGAAAACAGGACTCCACCCTTGATTTATGGAAAAACAGAGAAAAATCTCCCCCAAAGAGCCTGAGGCTCCTCCACTACTCCTCAGTGAGATAAGGGACGTGGCAGCTCCCTGCCTGGATGGTTCAGTTTGGATGCAGCACAGCAAGTTTCCACAAGCCCCTGGCCATGCTGGGCTGGGGAGGAGGCAGGAGCAGCCCCAGCAGACAGCTTCAAGTCTCAGCCTGAGCACCAGGGAGCTCGATGCTGCTGTGCCAGGGGCTCAGCAGAGCTTGCTAAACTTTGGCACAGATGTGCAAGCTGTGGGAGAACGTGGATGAATGCCTCCCGGAGGTTTGGACTCGCCCAGCTGGCTCTACCAGGAGATAAAGGAGCTGCACGCTGTTTGAATATTAAACCCTTAAAATGCCCCCAGCAACTTTACCCCAGCTCAGCACCGTAACTCAGCTACTGGCTCCATCTGAGTCCACAACAAGAGCTGGAGAAGAGCCAGGTGAGCACCAGGACAGCCCAAGGCTTCAGTGGCACCTCTGTGCTGCAAACACAGCTCAGCAGCTATTGCTATTGTTTTCTGATTGCTCAAGTCAAACTCTCCAAGCCTGAGACCAGCACAGAGGAGGGGTGATTCCCCATTTCAGGGGCTGGAGAATCACACATCTTCATGCTCTTAGCAGAAATGGAGGCTCAGGGGGGACCTTATCACTCTCTACAACAACCTGAGAGGAGGCAGTAGACAGGTGGGGGTTGGCCTCTTCTCCCAGGTAAGAAGCAATAGCATGAGAGGAAATGGCTTCAGGTTGCACCACGGGAGGTTTAGACAGGATACGAGGGAAAATTTTCTTAATGAAAGGGCAGTCAGGCATTGGATCAGGCTGCCCAGAAAGAGATGGAATCACCATCCCTGGAATGCTCCAAACCCATTTGTATGTGGCATTTGGGAACATGGTTAAGGGGTGAACACAGCAGTGCCAGGTTAAAGGTCGAACTCGATGATTTTAGGGGTCTGTTCCAGTTCCAGCCTTAAGGATTCCATGCATCAGCTGCTGAGACAAAGCCAGGGAGGCAGCCCCAGCTCCAGGGATGAGGGTCCTCTTCCCTACTGAGAGGGCAGGAAACAGCCAAGGGCAGCAAGCAGGACCTGAGAGAGTGAGTGAATCCACAGCCCCACTGCCCAGCCCACACTCGCTCAGCACCTTCCTAAAAGCCTTCCCTGGCTCCCACAGGAACAAGAGCTCTCACCCAAAATGCCCAGGAAAGGACCCATCCCAGTCCCTCCCCATCCTTCCCAGTATGCCCAGCTGCTTGGCTGCTGCTTACTGCCCCCCTTCCCAGCAAGCCAAGAGACCCAAAATCCACCTCCTACACCCACACCAGGCTGCTTCCAGCTCCCCTGGGTGGAGCTACATGGTGGGCTTCATGTGGTGCTGAGACAGAGCACTCCTGATTCATTTATAAGCCAGTGGCTGTGCCACAGTAGCCAGGAAAACAAAATTAAAACAGCAGCACACAAACACTGGGCACATACTTTTTATTCTGGGGATAAAAATTGCTTATACATTTGGCAGCAACTATTTCCATAAAAGACTTTTATAAAAAATGTAAAAATAAGCAAATATTTTCCATTATTAATATAGGAAAATGCTGCAGCGTGAATGGTTACTCTACAACTTACGAGATAAAATACCACCTTAAGGAGATATTATCTTTACAAGTAGTTAAAAAAAAAATAGAGAAGAAAGGCAGAGGGCCATTGTATTAACAGCCAGGCACGGAACTGGCTTCATTCCACAGAAAGCACTCATCATGTAAAAGGTAGCCACATATATAAAAAGGCACTTGGTTATTTGGAGCTAATGAGCAAAAGCCCTTTGTTTCTTTAGCATGGATGTAGCAACACTTCATTATTTGCAGTGAAAGGTGTACCTGGACAGACCCCCTGGAGGTCTGAGTCAGCTGCCCCGCTGCAGCCAGTGTGCTGGGAATGCTGTGTGCGCCGGGAAAAGCGGCAGCTCCACACACAGCTAAAAACTAAAAACTTCAGCCCAAAGCTACGGCCCCGGGAACCAGCTCCTCCTGAGGCCCTGCCTTCATGTACCATTGGGTAGAATTGGAAAACAAAACAAAACAAAAAACGCAAAGCAAGTTTGACTCTCGATTAGAATGGAAGGGAAGAGCAGAAACAATACTGTACACGGTAGAGTGTTGGATGGCGGCTCGCAGGGGAGCGGCCTTCAGTCCTTTGGCAGCAGCCGGCACCCCGAGCTCTTTGGAAGACGTGTCTGCAGCACTCCCCTGAAGAGGTAGGAGCAAACCATCCCCACAATGTTCACTTCGGCTGCTGGCTGGTCTGGAGCCCTTCGGAGAAGCGCTGCTCTTGTGGACAAAGCAGAAAGGGCGGCTGTGTGCCGAGGGTCAGTGCCAGCTGGCTGCCACAGCTCCAAACGATGGGGGCGGCCGCACCACGAGCGGCCCTATGGTCCCACAGAGCACACGGGCCACCTGGGCTGGGGGAATCTCCGCTCAGGCTGGAGCTGAGGGCAGAGGACAGCCCCAGAGCTGTGCACCAAGCTGCAGGAGGCAATGCTTTCTGAGCTATTTGGTCTGCTGCCACAGCCCAGCTCCTGGAGGCCTGCGGGGCAGTCAGTGCTGCGGCCTCCGTGCGCTGCAAGGGGAGGACAGGCAGCTGTGACCCAGGGCTGCAGCAAAAGGGACACTTCTCAAAGGGCTGGATGTCGTTCCTGACGCAGAAGGACACACACCGCAAACATGTAACCACATGTTTGGCACTTGTTGCTAATACCATAAAGAGGCAGCATATGGTATCTGGAGGACAGGACACACAGCCACCCTTGGATGGAGGGGAGGGGACTACTGTGCAAGAACGCTGATAGCTTGTGTTACCAGTTTTTGAAACACTCGTGCTCATCCCAAAAGGCCTGTATCCTGTATCAGTTGCAGTGCATCTCTTCTGGCATGGGAGCCCATGGAGGCAGTCATGGACAGTCCTGGCAGGATGGGGGCACGGGGAAGGTAGTGTGTCAAAATGGTCAGGGGTGTCTCAGGGAAGAGATGGGCCCATGGGCCACTGTGGTGGGAAGACCAGGTCAGACCAGCGTTTTTGGGAGGGCAAGTAACAAAACAAACAACCTAAAAAGACTATATGTATATATAATCTCATAATACCTGGGGAGCAGGCAGTGAGAATGCTAAGGGGTGTTAGTGGGTCTCTACAAGGCAAAATTCCTGAAGAGGAAAGGGTGAAGCTGCGTGACAGGAGGTGTCACTTGACCTGCAGGTGTTTCGGGAGGTCCGGCTCGCTTGCTGAGCAAGAGTGGACGAGGGAAGGAGGGGGGCTAGGAATGTGGGTGCAGCTCTGAGCTGTGTCAAGACAAGGCAACTTGAACTCGAGGAGAACTAGTAGAAGGTGCTTCAGAGAGAGGTTACATGGGTAACAGGAGGAGTAACAAAATAAGGATACAAAGCTGGTTTTGGCTAAATTTCTGGAGAAATGACCACAAGATGTACTAAGCTGAAGAGCTGTCTCCCCAAAGCAACGGTGGAACGTGTTTAAAAGCAGACTGGAGAATCCAGTGCAGACAGCAGTCACATCCAGTTGGTCAGAAGTGACCCAGCCGGTCTTCTCCATCACCAGCTTCTACAGTTCTCCATTTAGCATGAAAGCATACAAGTCTACAGCGACCACAGTCCCTCCAATGAAAGAACATCCTGGGCTCATTAAGACTCTTGGATACTAAAATGGTTCTTCATTTCCATCCTGGAAGACCTTCATGAGTTCTGGAGTCCGCTTTAGTAGGGCTGCACCGTGGGCAGCCTTCAGGCGTACACCTGCATGTTGTTCCGCTGCTGCTCCGGCATGTGGGCGGCCGCTGGCCCACGCTGGTTGTTGCTGGGACTGGTGGCCACGTCAGACCAGTCAGAGGCAGAGTGGGGGGAAGAGCTCGACCACTGGTCCGGAGATTCGGGTGACGGAGTCAGGTACGGGTGCTCCCCTTGTAAGTGCCGGTTGTGGCTAGGAGTCCGTTCTGTGGCCGAGGAGTAGCAGCTGTGCTGGGAGGGAGGCGTGGGGTACTTCCCCATCGAGCTCTGGAACTG